GGGAGGGAGGGAGGGAATTCGGAGTCTCACCAGCATTCCCAGGTATTGTCCATGGAGTGGTGGTCCAGATGGCGACGCCGAGATCTGGCAGGAAGGATTTCATTTCTTCTGGGCAGCTGTCAGATAGTGACGTCAGCTTGAATGCTGCATAGATGCTCCTCGACACGTGTCCTTCAGGATACTGAAAAAAAAAAAAAAAAAAAGTTGAGAAAAAAAGCCAATCACCGCCGTCATTTACAGTCTAGGCTTTAGGGTTTAGGGGGTCTAGATTTGGCTTAGGGTTTAAGGGGTCCAGATTGGGATTAGGGTTTTAGGGGGTCCAGACTGGGCTTAGGGTTTAGGGGGTCCAGACTGGGCTTAGGGTTTAGGGGGTCTAGATTGGGCTAAGACTTTACAGAGTCTTGAAAGAGGGGGGGAGGGCGGGGGTAGGGTTTAGGGGGATGTCTAGATGACAGATTGATTCTAAGAAGGGTGTTTAGGGTGCCTTGAAGTAGGATTATCAGAAGGGGTTAAGGGGGGTCTAGGGGGGTCAGATTTTGGGTTCTCAGAAGGTTAATGAGGTCTACCAACCAAACCTACCGTATTCAACCGCGAATAGAACACCCAATCATTATAGCCGTATTTGGTGCAATTTTCAGTCCAGATACAGCTATAATGACCGGCCGCTTTGTTCCGGTGAGAAGACGGTGACCTCAACCACTATCAGGACCTCAAGGAAGGCAGACACACCGGCATACATCTATACTACCTCAAGGAAGGAGGAGAGAGGGACAGACCTGATGCATCTATAATGACCGGCCGCTTTGTTCAGGTGAAGACGGTGACCAAACCTCGATCACTATCAGGACCTCAAGTAAGGCAGACATACCGGCATGCATCAATACTACCTCAAGGAAGGAGGAGAGAGGGACAGACCTCCATATCAATACCTCAAGGGAGGGGGAAAGAGGGACAGATATCTCAAGACAGGAGGAAAGAGGGACACATACCTCAAGTTCGGCTTCCGCAAGCGCAGTCTTTGAGCTTGGACTCCAATGGACCGGTTTTCTGCCGCGGTAGATATGCCCGTTCAAAACCATTCGACCGAAAACGGCAATCTGCACAACGACGAAACGAGGAATGCCCAAACTGAGAGTGCTGTCAGGCATTGCTCTCATCAGGAGAGTAAGGGCAGACGCAGAGAGTCCGACTTCCTCGCACTTAACGTGTCAGAATTGCAGTCACATACATCCAGAAAGTGCATTTTCTGGATGCATGTGAGAAATGGCAATGAAATTACAGGTCATTCGGCTGCTACAAAGAAGTAGACCGGTACAGACAGTCCGAACACAAAAAAAAACACCGATACAAAACGAGGAGGTTGAGTACACGGCCGTTGACGAGAAGAGAAGAGAAGAAGAAGAAGATACACAAGGAGGGAAGAGGAGTAGCGGCAGCAGGAGGAGGAAGGAGGGAAGGAGCCGGCGGCGAATGAGGACAGGTAGGAGGACGAGGAAGAGGCCACTGGCAACCACGAGGAGAGGCAGGAGGAGGAGGAGGAGGAAGAAGAAGAAGAAGAAGAAGAAGAAGAAGAAGAAGAAGAAGAAGAAGAAGAAGCTGGAGGAAGAGGAGGAAGAGGAGGAAGAGGAGGAAGAGGAAGAAGAGGAGGAAGAGGAGGAAGAGGAGGAAGAGGAGGAAGCGGAGGAAGAGGAGGAAGAGGAGGAAGAGGAGGATTGGAAGGAACAACACCTGTGCTGCCTCGTACTGGGGTGCCATTGTCAAGTACGAATTCTCCCAATCTCCCCAGACTCCATATCTCTGCTCAAACAAACATTAAACAGAAACCACATCGCGACAACAAAACCAAAAAAGGAACGAAACGCCATGTTTTTGTGAGATCCACACACGATCATTTTTCCTTGAGCATCATAGTCAATTTCTAAAAACCACGTTCAGTATCAATCACCTCTCTCTCTCTCTCTCTCTCTCTCTCTCTCTCTCTCTC